ATCATGCACTATTGACGCTATGTTGGGCTTAATATAGGACAGTTCATGTTCACTCTAATTCCGGCAGCTAAGCTGGTATTAAGTCTCTTCAGTACAATCAGATCACCTCTAGTGTGTGGCAAAAAGTTGCAGGCTAATTTTAAATAAACGTTTGTGATTTGGGTACATTGGTACATCGCAGAGAACTTCGAGGCCGACGAACTCTGTACATAACGTGGAAATAGCTCTTTCCTCAGTTGAGGTTAGCCTTCACCAGAAGAGCCAGGAACTGGTGATAGATTGAAACCACTTGCAATATCACCAGACAACTCTTGGCATTTATAAATCTTTACTCCTTCTAAAGACCACCGCTAAGATCATAACAACCGGCGTCATATCTGGACGTACTCATGATAGAAGAACATGCTGATTCTCTAATGGCCTCTGTCCTAAGCAGGGATATAAATGAGAAGAAATAGGTGGTGTTCTGCTTCTGCTACTGGTCAGCTCACAGTTCGACTCTTTGTAATTTTTACTTCAACCGACTTTCATAGCTTGCATCTGGAATTACATGTGTATGTACGGATCAACCATCTTCTAAACTGCAAAAATCATACCACTTGGCTTGAACAGCTGGAAAGTTGAGAGGATTCTACTGCACATGCCAAACATAGATACCACAACGAGACAGCAGGGTTAGGTCTGTGATCGAGCGGCCTCATTAACAAACTGATTAACTATGTTCTTCATCCATGAGTCCGTGGAAATTTTTCGTACATCGAAAAATAATGAAAAGCTCACACGACCGCTGGCATTGAAGGCATATCGCTGCAAGAACTAAGATCTACTCAACATATATTGAGAAATTGAGTGTTGTGGAGATTGGAAGATGCTTGGGCCCGAGTGCTTTTATAAAGAAATATTTTCTGCAGGAGATGTAATTTCCAGTAATCTTTCGAACATATCTCGTATACTCAAGTAAGCTTCTATTTTTGTAGAGTAAAAGTTTAGCGCAAAATTTAATAAGCGTATCTACATTATTATTAAACATATGTGTAAATTGGTGTATTTATATTTATATATTACATATGTACTAAAGTAGAGAAACACATGCGTTAAAATATTCAGGCCTGACAAAATATTCAATGCTTTACAAAAAAAAAAAGCTCTAACGACGGCCTTTTGTTGTCGCGCCTTCTTTGGGTATGCCCGTTTGGGTTTCAATACTTTTTATTTATCTAGTTTTTGCAATCAGATTGCTCAAAATGGCATACAAAATACACGCGTACATATGTATTTATGATATTTATTCACGAGCTGACAATTTAATTTGGCATACTGTCACTCAAAGCGATAAAAATGCAACTTGGGTGTAGTAAATAATGGCCAAACGTATAAAATATATGCCGCAAAGAGTTACGAAAACGGCAAGACGTAATAATAATTTCGTTACTATGAAGTTGTTACAACAATTGTTGTTTGCAAAAAATAAGGTAAATATTATGTCAATGTCATATTGTTCAGAAAAAAAAGTAAAAACGAAAATAACATTCAAATATTTATAAAAAAAAAAAAATACACTTCAGAAGGAAACGTCATTATTTCAGACATATATTGATCTTGATCTGCTTTTAAGTACATAATTTCATTGAAAATCGTAGACTGGACTTATAAATCCTTTGAATTCGTCTTCAAACTTGAAATCGAAGGGTTTGATATTATCTTCCAAGGGTAGATATTCAACGCTGATTTGGAGGAAGAACTCCAACTCACTACCCTTCGTGCGCATTGATAACCACTTGACTGAGCCGATTGAAAATTTTTTTAAAAATAATAAAGGAAATTCATAAGTATGTGAATATCGAGGTGTAGCAAATAAATTTCTTTACGAATAATATCCCTTACCACAATATATACCTTTACCTAAAAAAAGGGTGTCATACTTTTGTTCAACTTATTAATTATTGATGATCCAGATAATGGAGTTTAGAATTAATATTTTTAGTATTATATTTAAAAGCTTTGAGGCACGGTCAAAAGTTTTTCAGCACCTACTCTCTTTAATTAGGGCAAGCAATAATATTATATATAATTGGCGCTTTGTAACCGCTGAAGCAATTTTCCGCCGAGCTCCTCCTTCAGTTTGTGGTGTTTCGTCCTGATGTTTTTCCAACAAATGGAGGGACCTACAGTTCATACTAAGGCGCCTCCGATAGGCTCTTGGTTTTTTTATGAGGACCTTTTAAATCAGAAATACACTCCGAGGGGTTAACATACCTGCCAAGGAGCGATCGCAATTAGAAAATTTAAATTAAATTTTTATATAACTAAATTTCTATTAATTTTATGGTATAAGTATTAAGTAAACTACGAGGCCTGGTTTTTTGTATGAATTGAATATTTTCTATAACTTTTTGGATTTTTTTTCGATACCAAGAATTTAAAAAATTGAGCAGACAAACTAGAAATTGTCAGAATATTAATATTTTTATAATCTAAAGAAAAAAAACTAAAAAAAAAGTTGTTTTTAACATCATATAGCAGACGAAACCCCCAAACATCTTGCGATTAGAGGTTACGAAGCCATAAAATGAATGGCAACGCTTAATTTTCCAAAAATATTTTCTGTAATATTTCGATTTAAAATAAAAACTTTCTATCATAGAACTGAATGTTGTCAATAATGCAAATAAGTACCTGTATTTTTATAAAACTTAAAAAATAGTTATTTTTACTTTTGAAATCTCTGAGTTCTTTAGTATACCCTAGTTGAGTAAGCTCTTAAGGACCACAAATTAGCTTAGGCGAATATTTTTCGATAAAGTTGAATAAGTTAAATTAAAATGTACAAAACTCTGTTCAACTTTTTTCATTGTATCATACTTATCTAGACCACGGTAATGCTGAGATCCTGAAACTTGGCGCACGAGAAACGAAACTGAAAATTCGAATCGCAAATTATATTTTAAAATTATGAAATGAATTCAAAATGAAGGATTGAAACTTAATTTACCTGTTTGTTTCCTACCTTTCTCATTTAAAGTAAGCTGCAGGTTTTTGTATTGGATTTTCGACTAGGTAATTTCGTTTGATGTCAACAGCTGATCTTATTGCATTCTCTGGCAACCAACTTTGCTATTAAACGCTTTATCGTTATTTGAACAGCTGTTATAGTAATAATTAATAATAACAATTTTTTTTTTAATTATTATGCATATTTTTTGTTTGACGCCCTAACGAAGATGGAAGATCGAAAATAGCATTTTTTTGCATATTTTACTGTTTTAGTAACGAAAGGGTAAAAATATAGCTTAAGCGAGTCGAAAATTGTATGATGTATGAACATATATGGAGAATGTGTGTTGACCGAACGCCAATGTTTAATTTCGTTTGTAAAATTTTATTCTGGCAATTTCGATCTTGAAGATGCACCACTTCCTGGAAGGCCCCTGAAGCCGATGCGGATGAAATAAAGTCGTTGGTTGAGGGGAATCGTCGAATAACAACAAATAATATTGGTATAAATTAACATTAAAAATTTTTGGTTAATAAAGTTAAAAATTATTTATTATTTTTTGCTTTTAAGTATCAGGTGTACAACTTTGCTTCAGCCGTTTTTTTTTTCAAAATTAAAAGTTTTATTGCGAAAAAGTGCAGATATATAATTCAAAGTATTGTCCTTCGCTATCGACAACTTTTTCCCATTTTTTTTTCGGCAATTTTCGGATCCCGGCTCGAAAAAAGAAGTCCTCTTTCGACGCTATCCATGAAGCAATCCATTTTTCCAATTCTTCGAAGGATTGAAAATGTTGATCTGCCAGACCGAGTGCCATCGAACGGAATAGATGGAAGTCACAAGGGGCGACATCTGGGGAATACGGCGGGTGGGGTAAAACTTCCTCTTTCTGCGTTTCCAGGTACTTTTTGACCACTTTTGCGACGTGAGGCCGAGCATTGTCGTGTTGGAGGATGACATTGTCATGTCGCTCTTGCTATTGTGGCCGCTTTTCTTTTTGCGCGCGACTAAGGCGCATCAGTTGCGTTCGGTGGCGATCGGACATTTTCGAGCGTGAATAATACGAAAACAAGAACAACTGTCACTGAAACGGCGATGACAATTCGTTAGGCACTGTCTACACTCACTTTAAAGGCATTATCATCTTTGTATTTCAACCAAACTCAGCCGGTACAGCCACCTATCGGAAAACGGCGGAAACAAAGTTGTACACCTGATAATTTACGGAGTTCATTTTTTTTGAATTAAAACTTAAAATTGGGAGTAGGTGCCGACCCTGCTCGAAGATATATTCTCAGTTACTTTCGAAAAATCTCAGCTGTTACCTTTATAGTGATAGTGAAACATCTTGCCAACTTAAACTAACAATTTTAAAGAGGTGGCAACACCTTTCAAAAATTCTTTACTATTGAGCAGTTTGAATATGCTTAACTACTGACTACTCAGCCAACTTATATACATATTTATATTTCACTTATTTTTTCCAATTTAAACAAAAGTAGTTGGCAATCCCAGGAAAAAATATTGAAAGTACATACTGGACCGCTATGGTTTTAACAAACAGTGTGATTAGTATTTTTTATAGATTTCATTTAATACATATTTTTATACCGGTGGAACTTTTTTAAATTTTTCACAGCAGTTTTTCTCAACTCTCTTATTTTAGATTTAATTTATTTTTAATATTATTCAATTATTTTTCTTTAGAAGGAACTACTGTGTGTGTTGTTCGCAAGTAAATTTTCTCAAAAAGACAACATATATATGTAGGAATAATAAAACACTCTTATTTCTTATTCAATGTATATTAGAGGTGTATTTATTGAAATTCGAATAGCAATTGTCCTGTTGGTCTTCTGTCTAGTACACGCATCTCGTTCAATCGTAGTATCGCCTATATGGTAGTATGTGGCAGGGTTTGGCAGGGTTGAATTATATAATATATATATAGTTGTATAATTTGCAGTCGTAATTAAAAAAAAAAACTGAATAAAATTTTACTCACTTTATTTGATCCCATATTTCCTCGCCGAAATTCTTCAGCACAAGCAGCTCCAGAGCGTAATTAACGAAGCCGTACTGTAAAGAAGAATGTAAGATTACAATTTCAGAATAAATGGGATTGTGAATGCTTATATAAACAAACAAAAAATAAATTCAATTGCTAAAAAAAAACAAAAAAAAAAATTAAATATTTTATGAAAAGTTTGTCACCATTCATAACTGAAGAAGAAAATAGAGAGGAAAATTCAAAGAGAAACAATATTAATTAATTCATTAAAAGCTTAATAGAAACTGGCGAAAGGAAATAAAATTTCTTAATAGCATATATTTATATTGCATTAAAAAACTGGCATTCTGCTAGGGCAAGTAAAATGAAGTAAATTCTACGCCAACAACAGCGGCAATATAGTGTTTAAAGTAAGCTGCGTGACGTCAACTGGTGCAGGAGCAGATGTAGATGAACGAAATTGTGTTCCCACACTCACTTCACTCTTGCCACTTGACAACATATTTCACTTAGCTGCTAAAATCTTACTACTTTTTCCTTTACTTTCACTACTTTCACTTTCACTTTCCTCACTCTCTATTTTTGCTACAGCAAAGTTCTGCTTTTCCTTCAATTCATGTTGATATTAAAATCATAAGTATTTACAACTTGGGCATTGAGGCAGTGTTACCCCAGCATAAGCCAATAGAATAAAAATGAAAACACGCACACATACATACATATACGCTATACACTCATTTATACATATTAGCACAGGTAGCGAAGCGTATGCCAGTTCGCTTTTGAAGCGCATTCAAATGAGAAACGTTTGTCGTGAGAAAGCTTCTAATTAAACCTTGTTAGTGTTGTTTTGCTTCGCTGGAAGTTGAAAAGTTTGACACATAATTATAATTGAGAGTCTCCTGCTCGTCTGTGATTATCAATGCGAGTTGCGAATGTTACAGTCGATGTTACCTGAATTCGTTAGAAAAAAGAGTGGAAGTGTTCTCTTAAGAGGCATTATAAAGCAATTTAAGTTACATTACCTAAGCGTTGGGGTTCCATTGCAATCGAAAGAGCCAAAAAGTAGACGATTTGCAGTGGTGAAACCTAAATTTGAATTCTAACTACTAACAGCCAGTGCTTTCCATGTGGTGCGGAGCAATTAGGTTCTCATAAGTAATTGCAAGTTTTCAGTGTTTTGGGGACGAATGTAGCGTCAAATCTTTCAATTAATTTTTTCAGCTGTTTTCTTCAGCAAAAGACAAAAACAACAGAGATAAAAATATCAAAGGATAGGTTATTCATTTACATCGCTAACGGTAGTGCACCAGTTGTTTCTATTATTAGCTCAGGTGCTTTTCTATCTGATATATCTGCTTCCATGGGCATTTATACTCGCAAAACTGGTGCTTTTATGCCCATCCGAACAAAAAGGCGTAGTTAAAGGGGCATGGGGTCGGGTCTGGATAGGTAAGAGTGTAACCTGTGTTGACTGACTTTTGCTAAATCGCGTTCAGCGCCTGTCTGTACGCTGTTCTGTCCAGCGGTTGTTGCACGTATTGCTGGATGGTATCCTTTATGTCAAGCACTCCCTTTCTGATGTGCCTAGGTGGTGGTTCAGCTTCAATAAGTTACCTTTTATGGTGTTCCGTACGGTAGCATCAAAATAGGAATTGCGTGCACAGTAAAGCATTATACTTCTTAACTCGTAGCATGATGCTTCGACCCGGTACTACTAGCCTTTCGGCGACCTAGCTCCATTTAGGCCAACAGATAAAAAGCCCTAGTCAACATAGTCGCTGTCTTTTAATTCGCTGAACTATGCCAATCATATTGGCGGACGCTATAGCCGAATGGTTAGCATTGCGCACTGCCATTCGGAAGGCTCAGGTTCAAATCTTGGTATTAGGAAATCATTCAAAAAGTTATAGAAAATTAGTTTTAATAAAAAATTAACCTAAATTTTATAACTGCCGCCATCTCTGCAGCGTCTTAGTATAAACTGTAGGTCCAAATGATTTCGGATATAGAGTTAAGCTCATCAATCCATCAGTTGTTCGCCTCTTCAGTAAAACATTTCTCAAAAACTACCATTATAATTCAGCACATAAAGTCATCGTCCCTGCCTCTGACCTAAAGAGCAGGTGGGTGGAGTTATGAGCGACTTATAAAACTTGGAATTTGCGGATCGAGACAGGCCTTTTTTTTTTGAGTTGCCTAGTCAGTATAAATGACCTGTAAAGTGGGTCTGCGTTGGATCTCTAGACTGAAAGTTTAAGAGTTAAGACTGTCTACAGTGACGTGGGCACCAAGGCATTAATGCGTCCAGGACTTATTTGATGAAACATTTTTTTCAACTTTCTACAAGGATTAACTCAGCAGCAGTGCATCGATGAATTTTTAATAATGAAATTCCTCAAGAACCAGTGTTAATCGATTTTATGGAAAACTCAATCGAGGTCGTAGAAGACTCCTAGACGAATTTGGTGAATATCGACCAAAATCGGCCAAATCAGTTGTTGTTCCGTCACCTGCTAATCCTGTGCGCAAACTAATATTGAAAGATCGCCATGAGAGTGAAACGACTACCGGCATTAGAGGTACCAGCTAACTGTCACTGTTGCATGAACATTTGACCGTAAACAAATTGTTCACGTGGGATCCCATACAATGTGTGAATCAAGCAAAAGGAGGCATAACCACAAACAGATTGGCTGAGAGAAGTGTTACAAAAACACGTTTTTTTTTCTGAAGAACAGATTATATCACAACCCAACCGCCGACGACAGATCACTCTTCACCACGACAATGCGAGCTCTTATACATCGACTGAAACAACAGCAACTCTTGTAAAAGTCGGGTTCTCATTCAAGCATACAACAGCATACTTTGGAAAACTATTTTTAAAACAGTGTTGAAAATATTATGATGTTATACCAATGCGTTCTTTAATTGAATGATGACCTTGACTAGCAAGCCGTGCAGGCATAGAGGTCGATGGATAGAGATTTTTCTTCTCTAGAGAAAGGCATAAAAAAGGTTACATTTCAGGTAAAGCCCAGCCATAAATGAAGGACTGGATAATTGAATTTGATGCTTCCCATTAAAGAGTTTTGGGTTTGCTTTGTCTTTCAATTCGACTTTCCTCTAGAATTTTTTTTAAAAAATGAATTCAATTTTAGTTTCGTGTTTTCATTCTATTAGAACTAGTTTATGAAAGGGTTATAAATTAATTTTGTGTAAATCGCCTAATAATCATTGCCTGTGGAAAATATTAAAATTAGTAAAAATCAACAAAATTTGATTAAGTCTTAAGTTGAACAGTTGCGAAGGCTAATTTGATTTTTCCGTATTAATTCATTGGCGAAACGCAAGTGTGTAAGTAAAAGTCTACTCCGCACAATTTCCGTTATGCATAATTAAATAGTTATTATATTTAGTAGCCAACGCGCCGATCCATCGCTGAGGCAAAACCCCACGGATAATCTTAGTTGCAATAAGAGACTGAAATCTTCGCGCACAGTATAATTTTCATCATCATTTCTCATTCATTATTAGCCTTCATTGCTGTAAACTGACATTGAAAGTGAAGAGGAATAAATAAAAAGTTCATGGCATGGCATAAGCACAGACAGTCTGCTTACCCGCTCGGTCGTTCATGCGCTTGTTCACAGAATTATTCATATACACAACTCGCTAATATTTAGAATAACAAATGTATATATATACAAGAATATATTCATATATACATATACTCGTTTATACGTGTATGTAGGCATGTAAAGGCTTTAAAGACCGTCGGGTAATATGAATTATAAATATATGTACATATATATATATGAAAGCTTAATATATTCGCCCAACAACCGCAAAAGTGAAACAACGTTAACAAAAACAACATAAAGTCATTTTGTCCTGTCAACATCTATATCTCAACCGCTATTTGGAAATTTAAACTAAACAAACAAAACTAGAATCCATGCGTAGTCCTCCCCAACAGCGACCTCCTGAAAATATGCAACAAACTTTTACTTAAACAAATACAGAGTTGTTTGCTTAAGTCTCCGACATTCTTGTTGAATGTATACGTACGCATTGCTTTAACAGTGCGACGCAATGATTTGTTGAAAGTTTTCGCAATTTTACTTTTAATCTCAATCATTCCCCTCGTTTACCTGTTATATGCCAGACTAGCTTGTGGCCTATGGCGCGGGCATTAATCCCATGCAAGCTGAATAAATATATGCGTATTGACATATGTATGTAGGGTTTTGCTTTGAAAGTAAGCGCACAAATACCTCTGTGAATATATTTATAAATATATAGGTATATATTGATTGCGCGTATCCTTGAAAGCGTAGAAAGGTCGAGTCATTCAGCCGGCTTATTAGTAAATCAAGTGAGGTGTTCCTTTAATGTAGGTGGTGGTCTTATTTTTCTTTAATATTTATTTAGTTTAATTACCAACACTTTTATTTAGCTCACGTTTACAAGTTCGTATCTCTTTCTCCTGTCTCACTTTTATTGTATTTTTCGTCATTTATTTAACTGTTTTCTACGTCATAATGTTTTCTACTTGTTTTCGCTAACTAACCGCAAAATCGCCTTAACAGCTAACAGGTTGACATCCATTCATACACTTATGCACTTATACAAACATACATATGTACATATGTACATGCATTCATTCATTCATTCATTCATTTATCCTTTCATCTATTCGCATTCGTCATAAAATATGCAAGCAATGTCACTGCTCCGCCATCATTCAATGCCAATGTGTCGTGCTTGCATTGCTATGAAAATCGATAAATTTAAATATTTTACAATAGGAATTTCTCGGTTTAGCGAACGTAATGGCTCTAGCGGGAGACATGACAATTTGCAAAGTTCTAAAAACAACAATTAATATTTCAGGTGGAATGTACTAATGGAATTTGATTTAACGTGAAATGGATGGCTGATTTTTTTATTTTTGTTTTTATACGAAAATTGCATTTTTGGAGTTGAAATTTTCTTTTTTTTTTGCAAAATGGAAAAAAAAATTGAAATCGACTGAATTATGCCAGTGAACGTATTTACTACT